GGGGTCACTGCCGGCAGGGGCAGGTGAATACCACTGGTGAAGGCAGGGGCATTGTTGGCAAGGGCTGTGGGTGCCGCTGGCGAGGGCAAGAGCAGGTGGGCCGTGCTGGCTAGAGCAGGGTGCACAGCCGGCGAGGGTGAGGGCAGTCGGTACTGCTGGTGAGGGTGTGTGGGCACTGAGAGTGAGGGCGGGTGAGTGAGGGGAGAGGGCAGGTGGGTGGTGCCGGTGAGGGCTGTGGGTGCCACCGGAGGTGAGGGCAGGTGGGCACTGCCCGCGAGGGCCGGGGTGGGTGGGGCTGCCAGCAGTGAATGTAGGTGGTTTCTGTCTGCAAGGGTTGAGTGCTGCCAGCGAGGGTCAGGGGTGGGGGTGCCAGCAAGGGACGTGGGTACCACCTACGAGAGTGAAGTCAGGTGGGCAGCACCTGTGCGGGTGGGGTCCCGGCTCCCCTGCCTGCTTCTGCCCGAGCACAGTGGAGGGGCTCTGTGGAGGGTCCAGGGCAGCGGCCCGTCCAGAACCTGGCATCTCCCACGGGCGAAGGCCAGCGTCCCTTGCAGCCTGGCTGGACCCTGCGCTCCGGGGCCAGCTGCTCCTCTGCTGCCACCTGCTGTCCGGAGCTGTGAATGACCGCTCAGCCCGCTGGCCTCTGTGGGCTGAGCCGCAGACCTGGCGTCCTCACCCCTAGTGCCGGGTGCCTGCTGGACCTCTTCCAGCCCGGGCGCATCAACGGTCATGGTGCCGTGTGTATAGCTTGTGTTCACTGGCCGCTCTGGCCTCAGAGGGTCCGCCGGCAGGGCTGAGGGTTTAAACGCACAGCTGGATGGCACCTGAGCAGAGTGGACTTGAGCCCTCAACCTCGTGGTCTCTAGCTGCCGGCATTAAGGCTGGGCTGGAAGAGGGGGGAGAGAGGGTGTGCGACATCTGTGTGTCTGCGTGTGTGCACATTGCACGTGGACAGGCGTGCTTGTCCACACTCAGTGTAGGGAGCTCTGGTAGCCTAGTGTCAGAAGCCACACTGCCGCCCCACAGACTGCCGCCCCACAGACATGTGGGGGAGGACGGGCAGCCTGCTTCTGTGTGATTTACTGCCTCCGAAAACCTGCTGGAGGGTTAGTTACGGGTCGGATTTGACTCGATGACACAGCGACATTGCATGTACAGCAGAGGGTGTGGCGTGTCCTGGGCTGTCAAATGAGCAAACGCATCTGTACTAGAGGAAGTGCAACGAAGGGGCTGCTTAGAGGCAAGGACGGCGACACCTGGCCTCACGTACGTGGGGCATGTTGTCAGATGGGACCAGTCCTTGGAAAAAGACCTCATGCTGGGAAAGGCCGAGAGTCAGCCAGAGAGGAAGACCTTGACCGAGAGTGACACGGTGACTGTCACAAGGGTTGAGGCTGTCAGAGATGCGGAGGGTTCAGATCTGCTCAGAGGGTCATTATGAGAGTAGTCGATTCCACGGGCCCAGTGGTAACTGCGTGCTGGGGTAGACAGCTGTGTGTGTGTGTGTGTGTGTGTGTGTGTGTGTGCGCGCGCGCGCGCGCGCGTGTGTGCAAGCAGAGATCGTCCTGCGGTGCGTGCGTGCTTTGCAAGGCCACGCTCTGTATTTATCCCTGTGAACCGTGGATTGTATGTGGTACGTGCATGCTTTACCATGCCATGCTCTGTTTATGCACGCGAACTGTGGATTGTATGTGGTATGTGTATGTTTTACCAGGCCACACTCTGTTTATCCATGTGAACCGTGGATTGTATGTGGTATATACATGTTTTACCAGGCCACACTCTGTGTTTATCCATGTGAACCGTGGATTGTATGTGGTACGTACATGTTTTACCAGGCCACACTCTGT